ATCCGTTGTTTGCACAAAACCGCAACAAGTTCATGCCGTTATTATTGAGGTCGCTAGGGCCGTTTTTCCCCATCACGCCATTCCACTTTTCAACGTCTACTCCGACGTGCGCATTAAAATGGAACATCATTATGAAGGACTCTGTATTCGGCACTTCGGACAGGGCATGGTGCACTTCCTCAAGGAGGTCTCATATTCTCCTTCCAAATTGGGCGCATAGACCTGTACCAAGGTCTTTGATTTAGCCTGTTTAGCTTCAGTTGGAGGATTACCACCCTTCCGCTGATAGGCTTCCTATCGATTATTCTATCGACAAGGTTGGGTTCTACCAGAACGCCAACACCGGCCTGAGCGCGAGTCGTGGTGTTGATGCCTGAGTAGAACAGCTTCCATCTGTTGAGGTTCAGGTGTCCAGAGCCTGTGCGTTTTGTTGACGAGAGTCCAACAATATCGAGTTCGTACTTCGTGGCCTCATCAACTAATTCGTGTTCTTTTCCTGCGAGTGAGGATATGTTCCAATTTCCGACTTTAAGCTCCTAGTAGTGGTGTCGTTTTCGTGGAGCCTTTTCTGATCGCGCTGTCTGCCTCGTCCATTCAGAACGGATAGCGACTCCGTTGCTGACTGGTGTCTTCGTCGTCGTTGCGTAGGTCTTCGTCAGCCGCCGTTGTTCTGCCACGCCCCCGGCTGGCGGAGGGCAGTGAGCAGGTTATGATCACGGACTTTTCGCAGTCTGCCTCAGTGCCCCAAGAGCCGACGCGGCTCTTGGTTACCCGGGCGACGACCGACGCGGTATAATTTTCGATGGCGTCAATACCATGAGTGGCATGTAGCTGAATTTTACGGAGACTTGCCACGGTCTCCAACCCTACTGCTTTCTCATCCGGGCTTGGGCCCGGCAATGGCGGAGTTCCTAACGAATGCTTGGTTGCTAATTTCAACCAGCTTGTTGCTAGGCAGGAGCTCGTCGTGAGAACAGTGGACTGTCGGAAACCTTGGCCACA